GGATTTTTTTGACCAAGCCTAACTTAGAAACCTCACCTAATCTAACCTAGCCTAAATTAACGCATACTTCTTATCTCAATTCTAATAAATATATCATAGATCAATTTAAATTGATTTAATATTACTTACGTTATGTTCAGATTAATTTTCGCAGAGTTATGGCTTGAAAAAAAATTCACTCTGCTTATTCGGCAGAAAACGCCCTTGTTCTTCAGGCCTAACTCGCTGGTTTGGTTTTTTCATTCCCTAGATGCCTAGAACATGATAGCATCAGTCACTGGAGATCTGTTGGCCGTTCATGCTACTAATCTCCCATTCCACCGCACCCCAAAGATTTACACTAAATTTTTACCCTACCAAGTGTATGTCACAGTACAAATCATGATTCGCCAGACCAGACGACTTTTTTTCCAATCTTCATCTGTCCAGGTTTGGACACCGAGTGTATAAGACGGAATTATCTCTGCACTGGCTTACCTTAATTAAAAAAAATAATAAAAAAATGTCTGAGCGATACAGATGTATCTGTATTCCTTACAGATACATATTAAACGCCGAAATTAGCAAAATGCTTAAGTAACAACGAAAATAAACTTGCCGTTAGTCCCCTGCCTCATTTTCAAAATCTTGTTCAGTTCCTGTATATTATTCTCTACATATACACGTTCCAATGGTTTAATAAGTCAAAGCATCTTTCAACTCGGAATATCCATGAGCGAGACCGAGCAGCGGGTATGAACACAAGGGGAGAGAGAGAGCACTTTGATACAATATTTATGCTCAGGAATTTAAAAACGACCGGAGGTAAGTTTTAATAGCGTTCCTTTCATTATGCTGCTGCGACACGCATTAAGTATGGTAATATGTTTTCTGTGTGAATTATACTTTGCATGTTTATGAATACTGGAGCACCCTACCAATAACACGCTCTGCCGCTTGCCTCCTAATGCTCAAACAACTTTCATGATCCAATGTTTTACACATAAGGTTAAAACTGAGTACGTCAGGGGTATGTTTTTAAGAAATAAAATTGAGCTACGATAGCTTTTGATTCACAGAGTATAAATAGCCTAGTAATTCCGAGTTGTTCTACACCTTCCTTTACAATGTAGCTAAGCTGATCACATGGTTAGTCTCTGTCAAGGAGGGGCGATGAAGGGAAAGAGGCGGTGATCCCCACCACAACCACTCCCAGAACTTGAAAGTCTCGGTGTAGGTAAAAATCTACAAAAATAGTCACAAGAAAGCGTTAAACACTGTTACCTGGCTATTCAGTGTCCTAACACAACACACAAATAATTCTCCGGCATTACCTGAGTCCTACAACTTCAGCCAACATCTTTTTCTCAGGGATCCCAGTTTCACATTATGTAAATACATTCCTACGCAGTTTCCACTCGTGAAAGTTTTTTATTTCGTAAATAACGTTCTGCACTGCAAAATAATCTCTTTCCTGAGTATACGTGAAGAGCTTATGGTAACAAATAAGTGTAATGCCTAGTGACATGCCATGACATGTAGGAGAGGAAAAACACACGAAAGTATGGTGAACAAGACAAGTCTTTTTTCATGTTGATTTAATGACACGGAGGAAATGGAACCCTTTTCCATGTGGCGGATGAATCGTGTGTGTGTATATTTATCTAAGGATCGATTCACAGCTCCTGGCCCGCTTCTTAACTATTACTGATCGGCATAAGTTTGTGTGAGAAAAATGCTGACCCTGTGTGGGTATGAGACCTATTACGTCTGTGTACGCGTTTTGTGGGTGAGACACTTAGCTGAATATATAGAGGATATGGGAGATAGCCTTCGTGTATGTGTATTGGGGGCATGAAACGTGATCTAACCTCGCTGACACAAAAATAACTCAGCAACAAAATCCCCAGAAACGCTTCATTAAGAAGTTGAAGAGTATTTGATGTCGAAAAAGTGGCATGTGCAAATGGAAGGTTCTAATTCTGACGAAAGAAATAGCTGGTACAAATATCCAATACGTGATGATTTAGTAATATTATAGAATCATCGGTGCCCAACATGTTGTGGGAGACAGTTAACAATATTCCAGGGAAAACTTCAACAGCAACCTGTTCGTCTGTCTATTGAGGTTGCCAGTTTCACACGAATTACCATTTATATTTTTCTGTATGTTTGAAATTTCATTAAAATATTACTGTGTTATTCTCCGTTTGGTTTTGTTAAGCAAAATTTGATTTGGTTATGTTTACGCATATTAACTTATATCTCCACAAAATTACCAGACAATAACGAAATAAAAAAAATGTGTGTGGGGGGGGGGGGAGGATAACTTAGTTGCAGGAGCGCGGGATCTAAACCGAAATTTCGAGCATGCATTTCTACACACATGGCAACGAGTGTGGAAGACTTATTAGAGCTTAAAGAATCTCTCGATCGTCCAGGACGTGAAATCTTGGGACTACTGCTCTTCGTAACATTTATGGTAACTTAATTATTCAAGCCGAGGGTTTATATAAGCTTTTAGTTATATATATCAGTTAGCCCGTGTGCAAGTCGAAATATGTTATTAAGTTAAACCTTCGTATTACAACTTTAAACAGTTAATGTCAAAAAATTAGTAGGATATGTTGCGACTTTGTCATTATTAAATGATAATCTTGACATTATGACTTTGCATGTCCAATGAAGGAAAACAAATTGCAAATTCCATTACATTAATACATTAGTTTACTAAACAATTACTGTCCATAATTTATAACATTTTGTAATAACGCCATTCTCCCATAAACTTTAACTCTAATAAACTATATGCCACGATTTTAACATTAGCATTAATAAGACTATGCATTAAGACCAATAGCTACTTGGTGAGCATGAGCCTAGTACACCTACTGCCGCGTTCCTCTATTTTAAGTCAATTATGTATCTCGACAAAATCCATAATGTAAAATATTTTGCAATTTCTAGATTACTATTCTGCAGGCGAGCGAGTATATTCCTGGGAAATGCCAAGTCGGTAGGGGTCATACAGTGCTGGGAATAAAGTGAAGTAGCTCCATTTCAATGGATCAGGAACCTTTTACCTGCATCCATGCACCCCCTTTAGAGGGCGGGTACATTACTATGATGACGGTTACGCCAGGTCGTGGCTTCAGAAAACTTGTGGATAAAACAAGTTGCACAATCAAACATATTTGCAAAACGTTTTGCTGTCTGTAGAGCTTTATGAAACCAATGTTTGATAAAGCTCTACACGTTGTCTCAATAAAGCCTACACGATTTCCTCGCCATTTTCGGCAGTATGCCTGTTAGATCCTTTAGGAAAAATAGTGTTCAGCATGCTAGACCCCTCAAGGAAGGTTCCTTGATGTTGGTGAGGGGCTCTTGATTTAGGGAATTGGATCTGTGCTCCAGTTCCCCGAATTAAGCCTGAATGCCTTCCACATCCCCCCCCCAGGCGCTGTATAATCCTCCGGGTTTAGCGCTTCCCCTTGATTAACATAACATCAGCATGCTAGGTGAAGCACACTGAAAGTGATTTTTGGACAAATTATATTATCTACCAGTTCACTGGACAATATTGGCATGTACTAGTAAGTACACTAGACTGTATGTCTGTATAATGGACTGTACTGGTCAGTATGCTAGACTAGAGTGATCAGTACACCGGACTGCGGATTGGAGTGATCAGTATACTGAACTGTACTATAAGTACACTGGACTGTACTAGTCAATACACTGGACAATACTGGTCAGTATACCAGACAATACCATGCTAATCAGTACACTGTCCAAGAATCAGTCCACTGGACAATAATGGTCATTACACTCGTCAGTATTGCAAATACGCTCATTGTTTCCGCTATTTACAAAATGTACTTGTAAATAAACAAGTACTGACACCACATATCCCAAACAAGTTCATTTCACCACAAAAATACAACGTCATATACAATTTAGCGAAAATTTTCGTTTTTATTATTATTATTATTATTCAAGAGGCAGCGTTAAAGCCGCAAGGGTCATACAGGGCAAGGAGAATGGGAAATAATTAGGTCTGATCCGAAAGACAAAAACAGCTCCAGTTTCTTAGATCAAGAGCTTTACACCACCATCAAAACACCTCCCTTGAAGGGGGTTAAAAGTTAAGAAACAGTGCCAAGAGCCGCGACACGACCCCTGTAACAGCAAACAGGCAAGTACAGAAGCATCAATAGGTTCATTGACACGCGTTCTCTTGCATTCCACTTTGATACGCAGAACGTTTCGGATGGTTTGATCGTCGGATGCTTCCGACCACAAGTATAAATTGTTTGCTAACTTTTCGCCAAGTGTTGCTTAATAAAGCTCAACACTGGGCGAAACGCTGTCAAAATGGCTTTGCTAAGCAGGTTGTTTACGGAAGTTTAGCTTGGTACATATGTCTGCTTTAAATATCAGACAACTTTTTTAAATAAAAGGTTATAACACATACTGGAAAAAAAAGAACTTTTATAAGCCTTTGGTGTAAAGAGCTGAATAAAATACCCAATTTATATTATGTAATGAAACAATCTTTGAACAGATTTGAAATCATGTTATTACATTCATGGGGGAGGGCTAAACCCGTAGGTGCCATGCAGCTCCAGGAAAATAGGAGGGAATAAAATTCGATCCAATATGTATTGGATCGAAAGTTTCGATTGTTTGGATCAAGAGCCCTTCAAAGGCTGCGCTCTATGGGGATATTACATGGAAAAACTCTAAACCCGTAGGGGTCTTGCTATGTCTGAGGAATGAAATGATCAGCCTTGATCTGAGGAAGGGGAGGATAGCTCTAATTCCCCAGATCATGAGCCCTCCACCAGCATCAAACTATCCCTTATGAAGGGAAAAAAAATACTCAGTGAAATTTTTACGTTACACATTCATCACATCTTTCCACTAGGATGCTACTTTCAATTTTTTTAATCAGTATTACCTTTTAAAGTAAATGTAATGCTAAGATGCGAACGAATAACAAGTGTTAAACACCTTCTTACCTTACTCCTCGAACGCGACATAAACCAAAGTCCTGGTATCCATCATAGACGATTTACACAAGCCATTACCATCATAATTCTTCCAAAAACTTTCCTCAATAACAACTAGAAAAAAAAATAAGAGTCTGCAAATAAAAACACTATTCCATTCACTCACAAATCACTTTTCTGTTTCTGCCGAAAAGCTTTGTCATGATCACCAAAACGCGAGAAGAGGAACTATCTCAAGGATGCACTAGTGAGGAGCGACACAGACCACACGCTACGGGGTCTCGCACTCGACTGAAGCTGAGCTGTTTGCTGGAGCGAATCAGTTGGGTTATCCCGCAGCCATAGTTGCCAGCTACTTCCTACCCCCCCCCCAGCCTCACCCTCCACACCTGGATAACACTCTACACCCCCCCCCCCCCGCCTACCTTTTTTTTCTAATTGTTAAACTTTATTATAAATACATTCCTTATTTCATTTTGCAGTTATACACTTCAATATATTTACGCATGACTACAGCATCAACAGAATCTAGCATTACTACGTTAATTTTTAATTTATTTATATTATAGCATCAATACCTTGTCATTACTACATTATACATTCAATTATGATAAGACGCATACTCCTCACCTGGGTATTTTTCTTGACAAACATTTCGACCACCAAGGGCTTTATCAATATCAGCCACATGATAATGGTGCCTCATGTCTCTAAATTAGACTGATACAGCCCCTTGATGTGCGAAAAGTCTCTCAATAAAGATAACCAGGTGTAGAATATGTCTTATTCATCAACTTCTTATTAATATTATATTCCTTTAATAGAAATATACACCCATTCCTCACTACATTTTTGTATATATATATATATATATATATATATATATATAATATATATATATATATATATATATTATATATATATATATATATATATATGACAGTATTCAAACAGCTCCAGGGAGAACCTTGAGTTTTCCCTGAAGTAAGTTTATTCTTTTCTCTGAGGATGAGTGTCCCCAGCACAGTTCCATATTATATATAAACAGTATTTTTTTATGGAATTATCTGCTAGTCTTCACATGCATATATTTACTCCTTGTTTCACTTTGTGAATATTAATTTATATACCGAATGATGAAGAGTGAACTCGGTGAATGGTTGTTACTTGGCTCGTGTATTAAAGTCCAGCATAACGTAATTCCAATACTTATATTCAATTTTCGCAATACAAATCTGACAAATTATTTCAAACTCTTGCACATGAGGAAAAATCCGACTGTTTAAAGTAAATCACACAATACATTGTCTTGCACTTTATGAGGCGTTATATTATTACTACAGGGAAACGCTAAACCCGTGAGGCCATACAACGTCTGACACAGAATGGAACCTAATCAAGTCTGTTCTTAGGACGGGGTGGAGGTAATTCCATAGATCAAGTTTCTCTATCTTGAAGTCTTTATGGGTTTGCAGTGAACTGCTAATTTTTTTACTTGATTTACTCTACGATATCGACCCAATAACTGTTTCGGATTTAGCACTTTCCACGAATAAAATAATTTCAGGAATATACGCCGAGGTTTATGGTCTCCATGCATTAACTTAATCCAAATATTAAGGATTAAAGTATTTTTGATTGATATTAGGATCGAGGGCAGTGGTGTCCTTTTTCTCTCAAAAGTGAATCACACGACAAGAAATATGACTGTGCGAGGCTGTACGATATTTTTAGTTAAAAAACAAAACTTTTAAGTAATAAAAACATTGGGAAATCGCGGGGGAGTTGGTTAGCCCTCCTGGCCTGACAGTTCATATGTCCTAGCTAATTAGAAAAATGATAGCTAAAAAATCTCAGACAGGCCGCACTCTAATGTCAAGCGGGCCGCACTCGGCCTATGTTTAAGTAAAATGTAGGCTTTACTAGACAAGCATTGAGACTTGAGAAATTCCATGTATATGTAATTAAACTATAATGCCATGAAGGTTATAAACGATATTCACTAGTTGGTTACTAGATGGATGTGGCCTTAATATTTCTGAGTCTTAAATCTAACCGTCTAATCCTATTCTTCGGGCGGTCGTAATTTAATTATGGGTAGGTTCCATGAGTTATGCTTATGTATGATTGTGCCTGCCTAGTATAGGCCGGTAGGACTATTACGATAATGTTTTCCCCCTTGGGTAATTTAATGAGCTTAAATGCAGCACCAAGACATTTATTAAGTAAAAGTTACATAATAAACTCTGAGCGAAACGTTTCCACAACAAACGTCCTAGTGCTGGTCTTGTGACTTATTTACATGGCGTTATTTGACTCCATCTTTGACTCTTTGTTCCTAACTGAATTAATGGGGGAAGTAATACAATTTTAACTCAGTATCATTGGAAATCTGCATATTAAATATATTTGCGCAAATTATAACATACAAATCTTCGCATGATATACACTAAAACAAAATAGTATGAAATCGGTATTTTTTACTATGATCAGGGAGACCCTCCGTTATTCTGATAACACCGTTACTACGAGAACCGTTATTACGTAAACCACGCTGTTATAACGTAGGCTACACAGTTATTGCAGTCAACACCATTATCGTTAACTTCACGATATTACCTGCAGTACGATAATACAAATTTATTACCGAGAATATAAATATTATATACCTGACAACCTGTCGCAAACTAAATCCAGAGAAAATACCTAAATATAAACAATTGTTCCCAACTCACTGTATGTAGTTTGTTTACAAGTAAAATCCAGCAGACTGTAAAATCGGATTTGCATGCTAGGATTTAATAGTTGTAAGCCAATGTAAAAATAAAAACTTACACATATAAATATAAATAAACTTACACATATAAAGTTAAACATGTGTACGAATAAAAGATGTGCATCAGTCACTTCATTTAGAAAGGAATGTCTCAACCTGTAAAATGTATTAATCTCGGTTCTTGCTTCAAGTTCCTCGGAAGGTCTGCGTGAGCCTAATGAAGAGCTCAACTGTTTCATTTCTGTTAATTTAGTTTAGTCGCTTATGTGCGAAGGCTACAGTGTATTGTATTATGTGTGTGTGTGTGGTGCCAAATAGGTAAAACTTGTGATTTTTGGCTTAAATAGCAATACTCTTCTTGCCGAATAAGGCAAGCGAAAATTTGTATTTGCAATAATTTCGCAAAAATCATTCCGAACCTAACGAAAAAAAATATTTCATTATGTTTGTTTATTATTTATTTACTGTAAACTTGTCTAAAATATATTTAGTTGGATTAAGTTAAATTAAATTGCGCTTGTTATAAGGTTAGGTAGATTTTCTAAGAATATTTTGGTACAAAATTATTCATTTTTACATTACCTGGAGGTTACCTGGAGGTTATTCCGGGGATCAACGCCCCCGCGGCCCGGTCCATGACCAGGCCTCCCGATGGATCAGGGCCTGATCAACTAGGCTGTTACTGCTGGCCGCACGCAGTCCAACGTACGAGCCACAGCCCGGCTGATCCGGCACTGACTTTAGGTATCTGTCCAGCTCTCTCTTGAAGGCAGCCAGGGGTTTATTGGCAATTCCCCTAATGCTTGATGGGAAAGGACTTAATTTTAAATGAGTTCTTGCTAACTGACCAGTTTTACCTCTTCGGCGCGAATATATATATAAATTATTATAACCACAGACGAGTGGTATTGATCAATAACAACAGTGCGCTAGCCAAGAATTTGAACCCATGTTGTACTGGCCTGCCTCATGGTAAGCGAGAACCACATGACGCTTTAAACCACAGGACCACCCAGCCCTACAAGAATGGCGCAGCCAGCAGAGCTAGCTGTTGGGCCGTCATCCGAGGGCATATGGAGGTGTGGGAGCTTCTAAGTTAATTTCATTCTCAGCAGTTTTGAAAATAATATGAATATTTCCTTTGTTTTTTATAAATTAGATTCATTTACAATTAATAAAATTTGGGAAGAATTTAATACATTGGACAAATAATAAAAAATAATTCTTGGGTAGAGTAGTTTGGACAAATATTTTGTTGGTGGGGTGTCGTGAAGGACCTGTCTAGTTGGGCCAGCGGGCCTGCTGCAGTGTTCCTCCTTTCTTATGAGTCGGGTGTCCTCGCGTGTCAGGTGTTGCTTTGTTGTGGGATGTGATGGTGAGGTGTGGTCTCGACCCTTTATATGCCTTCCTTCGATGTATTGTCTTTATAGTTCCTTGATAATGTGAGAAGTCACGAAAGCGCTTGGAATTTCACTATCCTTTCACAGTGGTTGTTTTGCATATTCTGATATCTGTTTACTGTGATCTTATTGCATATATATATATATATATATATATATATATATATATATATATATATATATATATATATATATATATATATATATATATATATATATATATATATATATATATATATATATATATATATATATATATATTATATATATATATGCCAATTCACACTAAAAGTCTATGATGACAGAAGCCCATTTACCTACTCAGCAGAGTTTAACGTTAAACGGCAACTAAGTCTTCGTACTGAGGTAACTGCGCCTTTGTCCTGAGGTAACTGCGCCTTTGTCCTGAGGTAACTGCGCCTTTGTCCTGAGGTAACTGCGCCTTTGTACTGAAGCAACTAGCGAGTTCAGAGTCCATAAAGTGAACGCCAACGCACACTCCACCATATTTTTGTCAGGGTTGAGAACCCAGGAGAAATTTCCTGTGTTGTAAAGGCTTGGGTCACCCGTGAGCCGCAGGTGTGTGCTCATGATTAGTTATAAGAGAATTTTAAGTGGTCGTGGCCAACATTGCTCCTGAAATTTTAAGTGCCGATGATAGTGTAAAATCTTACATTTTAGTAAGTGCTGGTGACATTAATACAATTCCCAAAATTAAGGTTCCGATAACATTAATGTGACTGGGAAAATTAAAGTGCCGGTGACATCAAGTTATAAAACTTCAGTGACGGTGACGATAATGCAATTCCCTTAATCAAAATGCCGGCAACAGACATTTTTCACATAAAATTTAACCGTTTTTTGACAATGTTAAGTTCCTAAATCTAAGTGCTATAACGTAAATCCCAAACCTAGAAATATGTGTAGGCTACATAAATTTTATCCTCACGATTTATAAACTGACGACATAAACTTTAGGTCCAAAATTTAGGTGCCATATCCGTAAATATCAAACCCAAAATTTAGACGACAGTACAATGAGTGTTTGGCTCAGAATCCAAGTGTCACTGGTATAAATATATGACAAAAATTATATAAATATATAAAAAGATGAAAAACATCAGAGGTCA